CAACGACGTTAGAAAACAAGACTGCATAGATTAATAACTCTCCAAATAAACATTTAGGCTCAAGTCCCTCAGGGATGTAGCGTTAGTTTGAGTTCCTTCATTCAAGCATGTTACAACAACTGATTTTTTTTCTTTTGTGATTGCATGTGAATTCATAAACTATAACTACAACCAAGCATAAACCAAAGAGTATATCAAACTTCCATCCATGTTTGTAACTTTCTTTAACAGTCATGTACTTAAAAACCAAATCCTCATTATTGTGTTGGAAGGTACCCTAAGACACAAACATACAAAAACAACTCAATTTGGCTTTTTCAAAACAATTTTTCAAATTTTTATCAAGTTTTCGAATTTTTATGTCAAAACACACTACAACACTTAAAAACAGTGAAAAACAACATTGTAAGTGATAGGTGAATAAAACCCATGAAATTACATAAAAACACTTGTTTACCCCCCCCCCCTAACACTTAAATCAAACATTGTCCTCAATGTTGCAAGCATAGACTTACACTCAAACAAGAAAATAACATAACTAATAAAACATGACAAGTATGGCAAAGTAAAAACAAGACAGAGTAGAGTTTAAGAACGCAAATCTGGTTATGGAGATAGATGATCTTGTTGACTTTCCACAGCTTTGATCTCGAACTGGTTTGGAATTCTGAGCAAGGAATATGAGAGTTCCTTGGTTTTAAATCAGACTCCTTCTGCTGGGTTGATTTGATTGTGCAGTCTGCATTCTTCTCTGCTTGTTTCTTCTGCACGGCAGGCAGGCACGAGGTAAAGGTGATGGTCTGTTTCCTTTTTTAATCTTTCCAAGTGTCGACCATTTGCTTTCTTTCTCCTTGTCCCTAGCTGAGGATGAATTAGCACATTGTCTCCACATGCTTCGAGGTATCATTTTCACTTCCCTTATCTGTTTTCCAGTCAGATGTGGTATCTTTTCAGGAAGCATAAGATGTTGAAGATGAGTACTCGAGAGCAATGCTAGGTAAGCAATCAGGAAGGTGTTCCAGGCAGTCGGTTCCAAATCGGAAGATTGATACCAAGTGTTGGCTGATTGCTCTCTTTCTCCTTGTCCCGCAGGTGAAAACAAAGACAAAAAGAAGGACAGGGAGAAAGCATGATATGAGATACTCTTGCTTTCAACCTTCATGATATGAAATACTTTTGCTTTTGATGAGTTATTTGTAGAGGTACCCCAGGGAATAAGGAACACTGAGTGACTCGAGAGGCTTCGTTGGGAAGGCATTCTCAGAGATGAAGAAAGGTTATGTATGTATGCCTAGCTATAGAGGGTGAAGGTTTACATTTATATGAATTAATAACCGGTACTATTCTTTCACTCTTGTTGGCAACCGTTGGATAATTGAACAGTAAACTTCACGTGTTTTCTACTTCACCATCTTCGACCGATTGCCTGTAATTTCTGCAAGGCTGAGGGTGCTTGTGACAGGTGCTAACACGTCTGGAAAAGCAGATGCCTCTTCGATATCTGGAATCGACGCTTCGACAAACTGCCCGTGATTTCTGCAAAGCTGAGTGTGCATATTATAGGTGATGGCACGTCTGAAAAAGCAAGTGCCTCTTCCATTTCTAAGATCGGCTCGTGGTCTCTAAGCAGCCCAGTTTTTTAGAAAAGAGGCGTCTCTTCGATTTTTGAGCGGGCACCTCTTCGATTTCTGAAGCTCCGTCGAGTGCTGATTTTTATAAAGGCACACATTATGTTTCAAAGTAAACTTGAATTACCACCTGTAAAAATTCCCTTTTTACACTTCTGAAATCTTGATTTGTCTGACATCTTCTTCAACACCTTAGGAATGTCTTGCCCATCTGACTGTCGTATTAACTTGAATGTCGGGAAGATATTGACATGTCTCCTCCAGACAACATTTGGCATCCGTCCTTCGTATCCCCCAATAGTCATCTTACAGTTGGGGATTCTATGATGATGAACGATACAACCGCTTCGGTGGTGGCCAAAAATCTTCTCACTCCTAGAGACACTAGGATACTTTCCAAGCGGTCTGACGAGCTGGTTGTTCAGGACTCTTTGGCCTATAGCGTCTGATGTGTAGGCTCAGTATCAAACATGGGCCAACGCCTTCTTGCTCGTTCTCGTCAAGTTGAGTCGTTGATGGCTGAAGTGGCCAGTCTTCGGCAAAAGTTCAGAGTGTTTAGGCACGAGAATAAGGAGTTGCACATACTCTCAACTAATTACTCAACAAGTATGAAGAGGAAGCTTGACCAGCTGTAGGAGTTCGAAGTTCAGATTCAAAGTGATCATCAAAGGTTTATTGTGTTACTCCAGCGGCAACTTCTGCCTTCGTCATCTGGCGCTTCATCAAGTGTTGAGGCTTCGAAAAATCAATCTCTGGTGCTTTGTCTTTCTGGAGGTCCGTCGAATGCTGAGGCACCACCTGACCAATGAAGGCTCCTTCCTGCTTGTTTGCATTTTCTTGTATTTTTCTTCCTTTCTACCTAATGTTCCTTTTTCCACGAAGATTAATGTAAAAAAACCTTGCATACCTGTCAATATTTCAAACATAAACCCACACCAAAAACAATCAAACAAGCAAAAAAAAATAAAAATGATAATCATGTCAAAATAAAAAATTGCAAAAAAGGGAAGGTTTTTAGGAACGCAAAACTAATCGTGGAGCGATTCAAAGATCTTCCTTATTTGAATACATGGGTTGCCTCCCAAGAAGCCCTTGCTTTAACGTCTTGCAGCCGGACGAAACTTCCTTCTAAGCTTGGAAAGGGCCCACGGCAGTGAGTGGGATTTCTTCCACAATCTGCCCCATATTACTCTCATAGTATAGCTTCAGACGATGCTCGTTCACTTTGAATTCGTCGCCGTTCCTTAAGCTTTTAACTTGGAGTGCACCATGGGGAAAAACATTAGTAACAATAAACAGCCCAATCCACTTAGAACGTAACTTACCAGGGAACAAATGTAGACGGGAATTGAATAGCAGCACTTTCTGTCCAATTGAGAATGTTTTTCCCCGAATCATTTTGTCATGAAATGCCTTTGTTTTCTCCTTGTAAATTCGTGCATTTTCATAGGCTTCGTTCCTTATCTCTTCAAGTTCATTCAATTGGAGCTTTCTATTTATTCCAACAGCATCTAAGTCCAAATTGAATGTTTTCACAGCCCAATGCGCCTTGTGCTCTAGTTCCACAGGTAGGTGACACAGCTTGCCATAGATTAGTCGAAATGGAGACATCTCCAGAGGTGTTTTGTAGGTAGTGCGATATGCCCACAGTGCATCGTCTAAACGCAAGCTCCAATCCTTCCGGGTTGGCCCAACAGTATTTTCCAAGATTTGCTTGATTTCTCTATTTGAAACTTCGGCTTAGCCACTTGTTTGGGGGTGGTATGGTGTGGAAACCCGATGCTTGACATTGTACTTTTTAAACAGCACCTCAATGGTGCAATTGTAAAAGTGGGAGCCTCCATCGCTTATGAACACCCTCGGCATGCCAAATCTGGAAAAGATGTTAGCCTTGATAAAATCTGCCACCACTCTAGAATCATTAGTACATGTGGCTTTGGCTTCCACCCATTTCGACACATAATCAACGGCTAACAAAATATAAGTAAAACCATATGAGGGCGGAAAGGGTCCCATGAAATTCATACCCCATACATCAAAGATCTCCACATTAAAGATGGGGGTTTGCGGCATTTGGTCCTTGGCACCTATTGTACCTGTTCTTTGGCATCTATCACAAGTTATGTAAAACGTTCTAGCATCCTTAAACAATGTAGGCCAATAGAAACCACTCTCTAAAACCTTAAGGATCGTCCTTTGGGTGCCAAAATGACCCCCACATGCATAACTATGGCGGAATGCAAAAATTGAATTAAACTCAGAATTGTGCATACATCTACGAATAATCTGGTCAGGACAATTCTTCTACAAATATGGATCATCCCACACATAAAATCGTGCATCATTTCTGAGTTTATCACGCTTGTATTTATCTAGAATGCTAGGAACTTGTTTTGTGACCAAATAATTTACCAAATCAGCACACCAAGGCTCACTTACCTCTAGGGACAGCAATTGCTCATCAGGGAATGTCTCTAAAATGGGTAATGAGTCTTCCTCGTGCACCAAACAGCTGAGGTGGTCAGCCACCATGTTTTCACTCCCCTTTTTGTCTCTTATATCAATGTTGAACTCTTGAAGTAGGAGCATCCAACGAATCAGCCTTGGTTTGGCCTCCTTCTTGGTGAGAAGATACTTCAACGCTGCATGGTCAGAATATACAATCACTTTAGTGCTAAGTAAGTATGAACGAAATTTATCTAAAGCAAAGACAACTGCAAGAAGTTCTTTCTCAATGGTAGAATAATTCAATTGAGCATCATTTAGGGTCCGGGAAGCGTAATGGATGACGTGAGGCTGTTTGTTCCTCCTTTGGCCTAAAATAGCACTAATGGCATAGTCGGATGCATTACACATTAGCTCAAATGGAAGGCTCCAATTTGGTGGCATGATTAGGGGTGGGTTGGAAAAACCGAAAATTGAAAAAAATCGACAACCAAACCGAACCGAAGCCGAAAAAAACCGAATCGAAAAAAAAACTGAACCGAATGTGTTGAACCGAACCGAAATGAATTTAGTTGGTTTGGTTTCAGTTTTTGAGATTTGAAAACCGGACCGGACCGAACCGAATCGAAATATGAAAATTAAATATAAATACTCAAAACCTGCTGCTGTGAGGAATCGAACCCCTTCCGTCCAGGTGGGGATAATTCCTTCAAGTCAACTTAACTGTAGGCTTATTGTTGCTATATCTGTACCAGTATATCATTTATAGGTATTCTAATCTCTAATGCTTTATAAAATTTGTAAAGTTTACAAACCCTAGCAGCCGTCACTCATTTTCTTTCTCAAACACTCTCGCTCATTCCTTAGTCTCTCTCTCCCTCCTCCTCTCTCCCTCATCCGCTGCTCTCTCTCCCTCCTTCCTCTCTTCCTCTCTTCCTCTCTTCAACTCTTCAACTCTCCTTCCTCTCTTCCTCTTTCCAACGTGCCAAGTCCATGGTTGTAACATGGATCTTCAACTCTCATTCCTCCGGATTTCTTTAACAGTAAGTATTCAATTTCTTCCTTTTTTTTCATTTTCTTGTTTAATTCTTTGAGTGCTGAAAATGGTAGTTTTTTTATTTATTGATTAATAGTTTTTATTTCTTTAGTTTGTTTAATATGCTTTGTGCATTTATTTGTTGGCTTTGTGAATTTATTTGTTGACTTTGTGAAATTTTGAAGAAAAAATGGCTGATGTTGTTCTTGGATTTGTCTTTGTGGAGCCCTATGTGGTAAATATATTTGATTTAAGGGTTTGTAACCATTGGAGAAAAATGTTGTTTCTTGGATTGCCGTGATTTGTGGGTACATTAAAGGGTTGTTTGTGTATGGTTAATGGTTCTTCTCTTTTAAAGGTTTAATCTCTTCACTTATTATTGAGATTTGGTTCTTCTTGATGTGAAAATTAACTAGCACTCAAATTAACCCTCTTTTTATCAATTGTAGTAAGTATGTAAGTAGGGATCGTTCTAGGCCGGGGATTAGGAGGGATTGCAAAATCACTTGAAAACTGACTCAAATACGTAAAACAAGTTCAAAATACTAAACTAGACTCAAAGAATACAAAACTAAACTTTAAAACACCAAAACAAACCAAAAGACTCAAAACAGCAAATAAACACTCAAAACCGCCTTAAAACCACTTTCTGGGCAGTTTTGGACACTAGGGAAGAATTTGGACGAAAATTGGTTTAAACTTGACTCAAGACACCTAAAAACACAAACTAAATGGGTTTCTAACTAATATGACACTTAAAACTAAAGGGGGATTGATTTTGGACGAATTTTGAAAACAAAACAAAACTTTGTAAATTGAAAAGACTCTAAAACGAATTTGGTTTAAATGGATGGATGGAAGGCTAGCTAAGGGGTTCATCTCCACACATGTCACACTTGCATATAAAACGATCTCTAATTGCTTTTCAATAAACCATGAATTCCCAACGCCCCAAGTTAATTAGGTCCGCTTAAATTAACCTTCAGATTTTCCTAATGTTATTGAATTGGATGATTGCATACGACAACCCAAAGCATTCCCCACAAGTCCCCTACATGATTGCATAATAGAGATACAAGCAAGAATCATTAAGTTCTATGAAAACCATAAGCATTGACGAAGCACTTGTTACTATGATTGCATGAAACTTATGCCAAGAATTTACTTAACACGATTGTGATCAACAACCTTTACTACTTGTGAATATAAGTTCATAACGATTAGGTGAAATTCCCTTATATCCTAGCATCAAATTCATGCATGAAAACTAAGTGTCGACCCTCAATCAACATACAAGAATAAGTTTTAATTCACATAGATAAGCAAATTGAAATCACAACTTATGAAACGCAATTAGAAGTAATCAAATCATATAGCAAGCATAATCATGGTTTCGAATCCCCTCCTAGCCAAGGGGGGTTTAGTTCCTCATACTCGCAAATAAACAAAGATAAATAAATTTAAACATTAAAACAAAGATAGAAAACACCTAGAAACGCTCCACAATCCAAGCTCCTTGAATGGCATGCACGGCTCCAAGTTGTCTTCCTTCTTCTCCTTGCAAACTCACGGCACACAAGGTATGTTTGGGTGAATGGAGTAGTGAAAATATGGTAGAGGATGGTGACTAAATGGTGCAGCAAAGGATGGTATTTATAGGCTGAAATGCGCAGCCCCTATGTAGCAAAGGAAAAGGATTTAAAAGCCTAATTTGTATAGGATAATAACACACAATCCTTGAAGGAAAAGGCTAAGGCTTTTAGAAACCAAGGGGGAAAGGAATAATCAGGTTTCTAGAAGTTCTAGAAAGGTTTGGGGCGTCACTTTTGTAGGACAAGGGATAAGGCCTTCTAGAAAGGTTGTTTTGTGGCTGATTTCTAGAAAAAACAAGGGATAAGGTGTGGCACCTTTGTAGGAGTGGATAAGGGCTTCTAGAAACCAATTTTAATGTGTCCTAATCTGAAAATAAATCCCCTATGCAGCTAGAATTAAATTAGGATAGGATTAGGATAGGATAAGATAAGATAGGATTGGATAGGATAGGGTTTGGATAATGTTTTGGATAAGGTTTCTTCACTTGAGATGATTCTTTGGCTTCAACTTCCCTTCTTCAAGTAGGAAACCTTGTTTGAGTAGGAAACTTCAATCTTCTAGGAATCCAACTTCAACTAGGAATCCATCTTTAACTAGGATTTCATCTTCAATTAAGCACTTTCCCACTTCAATTAGGAATCTTTGTATCTTCAATTCTTCAACTTCAAAACACATTCCTAGCTTCATCAATCCTTCAAATTCGTCCATCCCTTGTGCTTCATGTGCATGAACTCCATTCTAGCCCAATTTTGCTCCAAAATGCTCCAAATTGCATCATTTTGCTCACTTTGTCTCTAAAACCTGAAAACACATGAAAATAGCTTAAAAGACTACTTTAACTAAGAAAACACAACATAAATGCATAAGAACTAGCTAACTAAGGTGCATAAATATGCTCCTATCAAATTCCCCCACACTTAGCTTTTGCTAGTCCTCGAGCAAAACAACGAAACAAAACATGACCTAAACCTTCCAACAATCGCCTCAGGGATTTCCAATGGTACATGACATATTAAAAATCATCATTCCCATAGATTTTAGTCATCTTCACACTTAAGCACATACTTAATCATAGTCACCACGTACTAGTTCACGTATAACCATTTAAAACATGATTTTGAATGTAGTAACATGCCTTAGAGAAATTGCTCAAGTCCTTACTAGATATGCACTCAATTTTCACACAGATTTTCTAACTCCACACCCTATACTAGTTATATGTGAGAAGATTGATGTAAATATGAAAACGAACGCTCACATATATGTATAACAAAGAAAGCATTTTCGGTAGTTAATAAGCATTTAGATATGATCTCATGAATGGAATGCTACTACTTAGATGCGAGAACCAGGGATATCATATGCTCATACCAATTCCAAACTCCACATACTGAAACACATAACAATCAAGATAGAAGCAAAGGGTTGTAACGGGGCTAAGGTATTGGCTAACAAAGAAAGGTCAGGATAAACAAACATTCTTAAAGAATAATAAGCAAAGTAATGAAATTGACACTTAGAATTCACTTTCGCATGCAAAAATCGATTTTGAAACACAAGGGGAAGACTCATGCAACACTTAGGGTCAAATTCAATGTTTTGGACCCTTTCTTCAACAACCAACAACTTAGAGCTCATTTTATGCTCTTTCAACTCCTTTTCATACTTTTCACACTTTTCTCTTTTTTTCTTCCTTTTTCTACGAATTTTCTTCTTCTTTTTTTTTTTTTCTTTTTCTTTTTCTAACCCGTGCCCTTCTACTTCTTTTGGCACACAAACTTTCCCTTCCCCCACACTTAGTTTTCTGCACAACATTGATCAAAAGGAACTTAGTTTTCTGCACAACATTGATCAAAAGGAATTCCCTCTAAGTCATGCTTTATTATCCTTTAAGAACAAGGGTATGGATAGTCCTAATCTAGGCTAGGTAAGGATAATGTGGCTAACAACAAAAATAGGCTAAATAAGGCTCAAAGGGGCTGATCCTATAAAAACAAATGCATGGGTTTGAAGGCTTTTTGGTGCTGGTGATAACTACTAAACAACTTCATCTTGTTAGTTATGCTAATCAATTTTAAGATTTGAATGAATTTGGTATGAGTTCTAATATTTGGATCTATAATGATGAAACGCCTTCTAAGTAGCAACCAAGCAAAGAATGATGAGATCATGCAACGACTTTAGAAAACAAAAAATTCACAGATTATTAACTCTCCAAAGAATGTTTAGGCTCAAGTCTCACAAGGTTGTAGCGTTAGTTTGAGTTACTTCCTTCAAGCATGTTACAAAAACTGATTTTTACTTTGTGATTACATGTGAATTCGTAAACAACAACGATGACCAAGCATAAATAAAAGAGCATATCAACTTCCATCCATGTTTGTAACTTTCTTTAACCGTCATGCAATTAAAAACCAAATCCTCATCATTGTGTTGGAAGGTACTCTATGACACAAACAAGCAAAAACAACTTTTAAAACGACTCTTTTTGGGTTTTTTCAAAACTTTTTCTATTTTTTTTTCTTGAATTTTCGGATTTTTTTGGTAAATCCACATAAAAACACATCGAAACTTTCTAAAAACACTTAAAAACAATGAAAAACAACCTTTGAAATGTTAGGTGGTAAAATCCTACGAATTTGACACAAAAAACACTTTGTTTACCCCCCCCCCACACTTAAACCAAACATTGTCCTCAATGTTTCAAACATAGACTCACACAAAAGCACGCAAATAACACAACTAGCAAACATGACAAATATGGCAAAGTAAAAGCAATAAAGAGTAGGGTTTAGAAATGCAAATCTGATTATGATGCCGGAGTGTCCTAGGTCCTCTTTATTTGCATGGGTTGCCTCCCAAGAAGCGCTTGCTTTAACGTCTTCCAGGCGGACGATGCTCCATTGAAGGTTTATGGAACCCCACGGCATGGAGGGGTGTTTCCACAACCTGACCTACGAAATACTTCATCTTTTGGGTCCTTGAATGGGATGGGATAATGATCCTTTCTTATTGTCATGTTTTGCTTCTCTAAATCAACACGAACTCTCCCACCACGTTGTCTTCGATTTGGTACCTGCACCATACAAGGTAACAACCTATTAGTTGAAATGGGAATCGAAATTGGAATAGGTGGCTTACCTTTGTACGGCAAAGAAATGGTAGCACTATGGACAAATGCACAAGGGTTGCATTTGGGCAGATTTGATGATTTCAAGGTTGGGGCCGTGCACTCTTTGTTGTTCACTCCAATTCCTTCCTCGATGGTGGGTTGTGGTACATTCTTCTTGACTAGTGTTGAACATTCCTGCCCTATATTTTCAATTACATTAATAGCACAACAAGAACGAACATCATTAGTATTCTCAACCGATTCAGAAACCTTAAAGTTAATCATATCACCACCAAAGGCCATAGTTACTGCTCCCTTGGCCACGTCAATCTTGGTTTGAGCCGTTTTCATGAATGGTCTTCCAAGTAAGAGTGGTGATGGTGGAGAGTGGGTTGAGTCCTCCATATCAAGCACATAGAAATCTGCAGGAAAAATCAAGTGGTCTACCTGCACCAAAACATCTTCCAACACTCCTTTGGGATATGCATTAGATCGATCGGCTAATTGAATAATAACACCATCATTTTTAAGCTTTCCTAGATTCATAGATGCATAAACAGAATATGGCATGACATTTATAGATGCACCTAAATCTAACATAGCATTATCAAACCTCGCATTGCCAATAACACAAGGGATAGTGAAACTACCTGGATCTTTGCATTTAGGTGGTAACTTTCTTTGCAACAATGCGGATACATTCTCACTTACGTGTACCACCTCTTTCTCCCGAATCCGTTTCCTTGTTGTACAAAGCTTCTTCAAAAACTTGGCATACTTCGGGATTTGCTTTATAGCATCGAGGAGAGGGATATTGACATGCACCTTTCTAAATGTCTCAAGAACGTCTTTTTCCTCTTCTTCGTTCTTGGCTTGCAAAAATCTACTAGGAAAGGGTACATCCGGAGGAATAACATTAGAATTAACTTGAATTGTACCTTCCTTACCCTTATTGGCCGAATTGGATGGCTTGGGTGGTTGCGGCAAAGGGTGTTCCATCCCTGCCGTGGGTGAGGTTTGGTGTTCTTCCTCAAACAGAAGCTTTTCATCCTCTTTTTGACTTGAATTGGATGCTTGAGGTTCAAGTCCAACTTGTTTGCCACTCCTCAATGTAATTGCTTTGGCTGTTTCGAATCCCCCTTTTGGATTTGCAACGGTTGAACTAGGGAGTCTTCCTTGGTCTCGAAACTGTCCTACAAACTCCACAATTTGCCCAATTTGTTTTTCCAAGTGATCCACCCTTTTAGCTTGGGTTTGCAATGCTGTGGTTTGATTATCTAGCCCCTGAGACAAAGTGTTGAGTAATTTAAGAATTGTATCATTATCCAAGGACGTACCTGAATTTGGTGGGGCAGATTGTATTTGAGTTTGATTTGGTGTGAATGGCGTTTGATAGAAACCCGGGGGTTGTTGCCGAAATGTGTTTTGTTGTTGGTCTTGTTAGGGTTCCCGCCATTTGAAATTCGGATGATCACGCCAACCGGGATTGTAGGTGTTAGAAAAGGGATCATTCCTTTGTTGGTATTGCTGCATAAAGCCCACGACATTGAGGGTCTCCCACCCTCCGTTCTCGATCAATTGTGGGCACTTGTCCGTAGGATGTCCTTGCATGGAACATACACCACACGCACTTACATTTTGAACTTTTGGCCCTTCCACAACCTGAGAAAGCAACGTAGTAAGGTTAGCCATTTGATTTTGAAGTTCGGTTATGGCACTTACCTCATTCACTTGGTGTTGCCGTGGGGTGCCTCTTTGTCCAACGCCTTCGTATTGTTGAGCGTTCAACGCTCGATTGGCAATCAACGTCTTTGTTACCGTGGGGGTCTTGTCCACCAATGCTCCACCTGCCGAGGCATCTAGCATTTGTCGTTCGATTGGTAGAAGTCCCTCGTAGAAGTATTGTAGAAGAAGCTCCTCCTTCATTTAATGCTGTGGACAAGAAGCAACAAGAGATTTAAAACGTTCATAATATGTAGGAAAAGACTCACCTTCTTCTTGTTGAATTCCACTTATCCTTTTTCGTAGGAGGATGACTCGAGAAGTTGGGAAAAACTTCTCCAAGAAAGCTCTTTTCATGCTTTCCCAAGATGTGACCGTTCCGGGAACTAATTCATACAACCAATCTTTCGCCTTTTCCATGAGAGAAAAGGGAAAGGCCTTCATCTTCAATATACTCCCGTCGACATTGATTGGAGTCATGCTTGAACACACCACCTCAAACTCTTTCAAGTGCTTGTTAGGATCCTCCATGGACAACCCATGGTACTTCGGAATATGGTGTAGCAAACTTGACTTTAACTCGAATTCCTCGGTCTTTCCTTGGGCAGCCGCCGGATATTGAATACATAGAGGTGCGGCATTGTCCAATCCCGAAGCCGAGAGCTCCTTGATTGTACGATTGTCTTGTGCCATGACTGTCTCAACTTCACCCACTTGTGCCGTGGGTTCCTCTTCCTCAATCTCAACTTCGGCTTCCGAATTTGAACTTGATTCACTAGGTTCTGGATTCTTCCTCTTTCGTCTCAACTCTCGTTCAAAATCGTCGTCAAAGTCCAATATGTGTTCACGAACCAGATGAGAGCTCCGAGTCATAAACTAGTACCTAGAAACACAAAACAAAAACAAAGTCAAAATCTGGACACAAATAAAACAAATTGAAATAAAACAATCCAAGGGATTAGCAACTTTGCTAATCCCCGGCAACGGCGCCAAAATTTGATGTGAAAATTATGTTGACACTCAAATTAACCCTCTTTTTATCAATTGTAGTAAGTATGTAAGTAGGGATCGTTCTAGGCCGGGGATTAGGAGGGATTGCAAAATCACTTGAAAACTGACTCAAATACGTAAAAACAAGTTCAAAATACTAAACTAGACTCAAAGAATACAAAACTAAACTTTAAAACACCAAAACAAACCAAAAGACTCAAAACAGCAAATAAACACTCAAAATCGCCTTAAAACCACTTTCTGGGCAGTTTTGGACACTAGGGAAGAATTTGGACGAAAATTGGTTTAAACTTGACTCAAGACACCTAAAAACACAAACGAAATGGGTTTCTAACTAATATGACACTTAAAACTAAAGGGGGATTGATTTTGGACGAATTTTGAAAACAAAACAAAACTTTGTAAATTGAAAAGACTCTAAAACGAATTTGGTTTAAATGGATGGATGGAAGGCTAGCTAAGGGGTTCATCTCCACACATGTCACACTTGCATATAAAACGATCTCTAATTGCTTTTCAATAAACCATGAATTCCCAACGCCCCAAGTTAATTAGGTCCGCTTAAATTAACCTTCAGATTTTCCTAATGTTATTGAATTGGATGATTGCATACGACAACCCAAAGCATTCCCCACAAGTCCCCTACATGATTGCATAATAGAGATGCAAGCAAGAATCATTAAGTTCTATGAAAACCATAAGCATTGACGAAGCACTTGTTACTATGATTGCATGAAACTTATGCCAAGAATTTACTTAACACGATTGTGATCAACAACCTTTACTACTTGTGAATATAAGTTCATAACGATTAGGTGAAATTCCCTTATATCCTAGCATCAAATTCATGCATGAAAACTAAGTGTCGACCCTCAATCAACATACAAGAATAAGTTTTAATTCACATAGATAAGCAAATTGAAATCACAACTTATGAAACGCAATTAGAAGTAATCAAATCATATAGCAAGCATAATCATGGTTTCGAATCCCCCCCTAGCCAAGGGGGGTTTAGTTCCTCATACTCGCAAATAAACAAAGATAAATAAATTTAAACATTAAAACAAAGATAGAAAACACCTAGAAACGCTCCACAATCCAAGCTCCTTGAATGGCATGCACGGCTCCAAGTTGTCTTCCTTCTTCTCCTTGCAAACTCACGGCACACAAGGTATGTTTGGGTGAATGGAGTAGTGAAAATATGGTAGAGGATGGTGACTAAATGGTGCAGCAAAGGATGGTATTTATAGGCTGAAATTCGCAGCCCCTATGTAGCAAAGGAAAAGGATTTAAAAAAGCCTAATTTGTATAGGATAATAACACACAATCCTTGAAGGAAAAGGCTAAGGCTTTTAGAAACCAAGGGGGAAAGGAATAATCAGGTTTCTAGAAGTTCTAGAAAGGTTTGGGGCGTCACTTTTGTAGGACAAGGGATAAGGCCTTCTAGAAAGGTTGTTTTGTGGCTGATTTCTAGAAAAAACAAGGGATAAGGTGTGGCACCTTTGTAGGAGTGGATAAGGGCTTCTAGAAACCAATTTTAATGTGTCCTAATCTGAAAATAAATCCCCCATGCAGCTAGAATTAAATTAGGATAGGATTAGGATAGGATAAGATAAGATAGGATTTGATAGGATAGGGTTTGGATAATGTTTTGGATAAGGTTTCTTCACTTGAGCTGATTCTTTGGCTTCAACTTCCCTTCTTCAAGTAGGAAACCTTGTTTGAGTAGGAAACTTCAATCTTCTAGGAATCCAACTTCAACTAGGAATCCATCTTCAACTAGGATTTCATCTTCAATTAAGCACTTTCCCACTTCAATTAGGAATCTTTGTATCTTCAATTCTTCAACTTCAAAACACATTCCTAGCTTCATCAATCCTTCAAATTCGTCCATCCCTTGTGCTTCATGTGCATGAACTCCATTCTAGCCCAATTTTGCTCCAAAATGCTCCAAATTGCATCATTTTGCTCACTTTGTCTCTAAAACCTGAAAACACATGAAAATAGCTTAAAAGACTACTTTAACTAAGAAAACACAACATAAATGCATAAGAACTAGCTAACTAAGGCGCATAAATATGCTCCTATCACTTTTCTTTTAAAGATTTAATCTTCACTTATTATGGTACATCAAAGGGCTGTCTGATTTATTCATATCTAAACCTTCTAGCGGTGAATTATGCATTTACTAATCCGGCTGTTAACTTGCTTTCATCTTCCCAGGTCAGCTTGTATGCAAATAATAACTTGATGTGTTTTTCTTAATGCGAATGTACATCTCCACTGCCTAAAGGGGAATTTGAAACCCGATTGCTATGCCATCGTGAAGGTATGGTGAATGCTTTACCTTACAATTGAACTGATTTTCTTTCTCGATTTGATTGTTAACCATACAACTATTCAAATGGTCCTGCATCAGTTCTGTATCTTCCAACTAACCCTTTGGATGTTATGCTCTGTTCTTTACAGGTATATGTTATGTAATTGGTGTTTGGGAAAGCTTGAGTTTGAGGACTTGAAGAGAAGAAGTGTGTGCAAAGGCATGAAGTGATGAAACCTTGAAGGTTTATTTGATTTTTTTGTGTTGGAAGACTTGAAGTGTGATTGTGTGGAAGACTTGAATTGTGATTGTGTTAGAGATGTTAAATTTTCAAGTTTCAAATTTTTTAATTTTTTTGGGAAAAAAAACCGAAACCGAACCGAAAAAAACCAAAACTGAAAAAAACCGAATAGAAAAAAAATGGGCCGAACCGAACTGAACCTAAATTTCGGTTTGGTTTCGGTTTTGTCAAAAAACCGAACCGATTTAAACCGAACCCAGCCCTAGGCATGATGATGGAGGCCGAAGTCAACATGTCCTTGAGGGTTTTGAAAGCGGTCTCACACTCCTTGTTAAACTTGAAGGCTACTTCCTTTTGGAGTAAACGGCAAAGGGGTTAGGAGATTTTTGAGAAATCCTTGATGAATCTCCTATAAAATCCTACATGGCCAAGAAAAGAACGAACCTCCCTTACCGAAGTGAGAGAGGGTAAGTAACGTACAAGATCTATTTTGGATTTATTAACCTCAATCCCTTTTTCTGATATGATATGCCCCAAAACTATATCTTGTTTTACCATAAAATGGCACTTTTCCCAATTCAAGACAAGATTAGTTTCGATGCATCGTTGTAAGATCAAAGTTAGATTATTTAAGCATGCATCAAATGAGTCACCAAAAACACTAAAGTCATCCATAAACACTTCAATGATCTTTTCCACAAATTCTGAGAAAATACTTACCATACACCTTTGGAATGTGGCTGGTGCGTCGCATAGCCCAAATGGCATGCGTCGATAAGCAAAGGTACCAAAGGGACATGTGAAGGTAGTTTTTTCTTGGTCATCGGGAGCTATCACAATTTGATTATAACCCGAATAGCCATCAAGAAAACAATAAAAAGAATGACCGGCTAACCTTTCAAGCATTTGATCAATAAAGGGCAGCAGGAAGTGATCTTTTCTTGTTGTAGCGTTGAGCTTCCGATAGTCAATACAAACTCTCCATCCGGTTTGGATTCGAGTGGGCACAAGCTCATTATCTTCGCTTTTTACCATAGTGACTCCGGACTTCTCAGGAACAACTTGGACCGGAGAGACCCAATGGCTATCATAAATTGGGTAAATCACTCCACAATTTAGTAGCTTGATGATTTCCTTCTTCACAACGTCCATCATGGGTGGATTGAGTCGGCGTTGTGCTTCTCTAGATGGTTTGGCTCCTTCTTCCAAGAGTATTTGATGCATGCAAGTGGTAGGGCTAATTCCCTTGATATCGACCAATGTCCACCCAATGGCAGTTTTGTATTCCCAAAGCACCCTCACCAACTTGTCCTCCTCTTGTACAGTGAGTGAAGAAAAGATGATGACGGGTAGCGTCTCTCGTTCTTCCAAAAACACATATTTCAAATGGCTAGGCAATGGTTTAAGCTCTAGGGAAGGTGGCTGGATTACAGAAGGAAGCAACTTGTTAGTTGAAATGGGAATTGAAATAAGGTTAGGAGACTTACTAATATGCCTTGGATTTGATTCTAGGGCAGCAACCATCTCCACCAATTCTTCTTGAATAGGCACGGCAAAGTGTTCCTTGTTGTTGCCGTGGGCATGCCTAAGTGCTAACCCTTCGTTTTTTAGTCCAATGCTTTGCGTGAGAGTCTTTTCAAGTGCACCCTCACTCAAATCATCAAGGAATTCCTGCATCAAAGAGTCAATCACATCAATAGAGAAACAAGAGTGACCATCATGAGGATATCTCATAGCATAAAAAATATTGAAATCAATAACTTCCCCATCAAATTCCATGGTCAATGTTCCCTTGAATACATCTATCTTTGTACGGGTAGTCTTCATGAATGGTCGGCCAAGTAAGATTGGTAATTGAGGGGAACAATTCGAGTCTTCCATTTCAAGCACGTAGAAGTCCGCCGGAAAGACTAGGTGATTCACCTACACTGAAACATCCTCCAAAACACCTTTTGGATACGCATTAGATCTATCAGCCAATTGAATGATCACTCCATCATTTTTTAATTCTCCCAAGTTCATAGATGCATATATTGAATAAGGCATGACATTTATTGATGCACCTAGATCTAACATGGCAGATTCAAAGTAAGTATTGCCTATAACACAAGGAATTGTAAAACTGCCGGGATCTTTGCACTTAGGAGGTAATTTTCATTGCAACACGGCTGAGACATTCTGACTTACCCTTACCATCTTTTTGTTTGAAACCCCCTTCCTTGTAGTGCACATCTCCTTCGGGAACTTAGCATACTTGGGGACTTGTTTAATTGCATCTAGAAATGGAATGTTGACTTGCACCTTTCTGAATGTGTCAAGGATATCTTTGTCACTCTCATCCTTCTTTGATTGCACAAACCTGCGAGGAAATGGTGCATTGGGTGGAATGGAATTAGAAGTCATGGAATTTGAACCCAACTTACCTTTGGTGGTCGAATTAAGGTGTGTAGGTGGCTGCGGCAAAGATTGCTCAATCCTTGCCGAGGGCAGGCCTTGTTCCTTCTCCTCAGATTGCATCTTTTCATCCTCCTTTTGATTGGATTTAGATGGGCTGGGATCAAATCCAACTTCTTTTCCACTTCACAAGGTGATGGCTTTGGCAGATTCGAAGCCTCCATTTGGATTCACATCCGTCAAACTAGGTAACTTACCTTGTTCTCTACTAAATTGCCCCATGAATTCAGCCATTTGTCCCACTTGTCTCTTCAATTCAGTCACCTCTCGAGCTTGATTTTGCACTTCCTTGGCGTAATTGTGCATATCTTTGGCTTGATTTTCCTGACCCTTTACCAACGTAGTTAGTAACTGAATAACTTGAGCATTATCAAAAGACAAACCTGAGTTATTTTGGGCAGGTTGTGTTTGGGGTTGTGTGGGTGCATACGGCCTTTGGTAGAATCCCGGAGGTTGCTGTTTGAATGCACTTTGTTGTTGGGTTTGTTGGGGCTCCCTCCATTTGAAATTTGGATGATCTTTCCAACCTGGATTGTATGTATTCGAGAACGGATCATTTCTTGGTTGGTTTTGACTCCCAAAACCCACGGCATTGGCAGATTCCCACCCTCCATTTTTGATCAATTGAGGGCACTTATCCGTGAGGTGTCCTTGCATTGAGCACACACCACAAGTAGCTACACTTTGTTCTTTTGGTTTTTCAACCACCTGTGAAAGAAGAGTAGTAAGATTAGCCATTTGATTTTGAAGTTCGGAAATAGCAATTAAGGTCTTGGCAGCCATGGGTGTTTTGTCCACCAAAGCTCCTTCCGCTGAGGCATTTAGCATTTGGCGTTCAATGGGGAGGAGTCATTCGTAGAAGTATTGAATGAGCAGCTCCTCATTCATTTGGTGTTGTGGACATGAAGCAACCAGAGTTTTAAAACGTTCGTAATAAGTTGGAAATGATTCACCTTGGTTTTGCTAAATGCCACTAATCCTTTTGCGTAGTAGAATGACTCGAGAAGTTGGGAAAAACTTCTCCAAAAATGCCTGTTTCATACTCTCCCATGATGTGACAGTTTTGGGGGCTAGTTCATACAACCAATCTTTACCCTTTTCCAGAGAGAAAAGGGAAAAGCCTTCATTTTCAGAATGCTCCCATCAACATTCACAAGGGTCATGCTCGAACAAACAACCTCAAACTCCTTCAAATGTTTATTAGGATCTTCCATGGATATTGAATGCATAAGGGCATAGCATTGTCCAATCCCGAAGCGGAAAGCTTCTTGATTGTTCGATTGTCTACTGCCATATCTTAGACTTCTTCAAAAGTCCCTGCCGTGGCCTCCTCTTTCTCTTCTACTTTGTCTTCTTCAAGATCTGGTGCAGGTTGAGGTGGTTGGGGTTCTTGTTGATTCCTTGCTCGTCTCAAAGTTCGTTCAAAATCGTCGTCAAAGTCAAGGATGTACTTATGAACAGGTTGAGAACTTTGAGTCATAAACCACCTAAAACAAGAAAACAAGTAAAGTCAGCAACTAGGAACAAAAACACATGAAAATAAACAAAAAGAAATAACAAGGGATTAGCAAAATTGCTAACCCCCGGCAACGGCACCACAAACTTGATGCGGAAATTAACTTAACACACAAATTAAACCCTCTTTTGACAATTGTAGTATATGTATAAGTAGGGATCGTTCTAGGCCGGGGATTATGAGGGATTGCTAATTGATTCTAAACTGACTTAAAGACACAAAAACAAACTTAAAAACAATAGGATAGATTCAAAAGACTCAAAACTAGTTCACAAGACTCAAAATAAGATAAAAATACTCAAAACTGCCTAAAAACACCAACTAGCAGTTTCTGACACTAAACACAATTTTGGACGAAAATAAGGTTTGGGCTTGACTCAAAACACTTAGAACCCAAACAAAACAAGTTTAAAACAATTTGAAACAAGAAAGTAAAGGGGGGTTGTGTTTTGGGCAAACTTAGAATAACAAAACAAATTGTAACTTAAAAATAGGTTTGAAAACAAATTTAGGAAATTAGATGGATGATGGGATAACTAGAGGCTTTTCCTCCACACATGACATGTATGCAAACATCTTGATTTCTAGTTACTACTTCATTAAATTATGAACGACAATGCTCCAAATTAACCGTGATATCACTAGTTAACTCTTAGATTTTCCTTGTTTTATTGGATTGGATGACATCATTCGACAACCCAAAACATTCTTCAAAAGTTTCCTACATGACATCATAATAGAGATACCATCAAAGATCATTACGTTTAATGAAAATCATAAGCATTGATAAAGCACTTGCAACTATGACATCATGTCACTCATGCTAGGAATTAAACTTAACGCGATCGTTTATAAGCGACCTTCACTACATGTGAATATAAGTTTGTAACGATTATGTGAAACTTCCTTATACTCTAGCAACGGATTTATGCATGCCAATTAAGTGTAGACCCTTAATTAACAAATACAAATAAGTTATCAATCAAATAGTTAAGCCAATTGCATTCACGATTCAAGAATTCATAACTAGAATGTATCAAATCATATTGTACACATAATCATGGCTTTGAAATCATCCCTAGCCAAGAGGGATTTAGCCACTCATGTTCACAACAAAACGAAAGAAAATGAATTTAAACATTGGAAACAAAAGAAAGAAAACA